TTTGCCTTGGTCACTAGAATCCTTTTGGTGCTTCGAACTGGTGGACAAATTTTATGAGACAGTTTGCATCCTTGGCTGATTTCGACCTCAAGGGTGTGCTTGTGGCCATTTTGTGAATAGTCAATAAAACACAAATATACTGATGTCCGCTGTTGGTTTCAGTAGGTTTCCATAATGTCCATCCCAACCAATTAAAATGGCTGAGAAACCTTAAAAAGAAAAACATAGTTACATTAATTAATTGTTGCAGCACTTGCCTGACAAACTGCACACTGGGAAACCTAATCAAAAAAAAAGCAATTCAGTAGAAACACAACAGTAAATTAATTTGAGAGATACAGAAACATTGCTGTTCATTTAAAATAAGTTAGCTGTAGTAGAATTACAGAGTTTCTTTTGAGTACCCACCCAATTATTGACGTCCAATGACATCCCTGGCCAGTAGAAACGCTTTGAAATGGCTTCTCTTGTTTTGTTTAGGTCAAAGAAAGGTCAAGCTAATTAAGACTAATTAAGACTACACATTTTGCCATTGTGTGTGTGTGTTAATATATGTATTGAAGGTTTATAAACGCTACGAAGTTGCTGTTATTACTTCAATGTCGTAAATAGCAGCTTTTCTTCGGAGAAGAAATTTCTCTTTTTTCGTGAAAAGCGCTGGATACTCGCTTTTAGTTTATTTGCAACCAAACTCTTGTACTCGTCTGGTTCCATCCTCTTGTGGTGTTGGTTATAAAATAAATTATTCTTCTCGTTAGCTCAGAGGAACTCGGTTTTCACAACGTGAACTAATTTGAATAATTAACGAGGAAACCCACGTGACCTAAGATTTTGGAAAAATGTGTCAATGTTGGAGTCGAATAGGCCTACGAAAGGTTGCCCAAAACTGACTTGCAAATTTTTGAAAAGCCCTGTTACTGACAAAGACGTGTATATTATATGTTTTTTTTATTTAAATTATTTATTGTCAAAGAAAAACTGCTAACGTTTATTATTGATGGAGAGGACACACATTTTGGCAGACGCTGCCACACAGCCTGATAAAATCTGTACCCCTCTATAACCTTTGCTGGGAGGAAGAAATCCTCTCCAGAGTTACTGGGGTTATTGGTTATACTCTGATTTATTTTGCAAATAAACTCCTTCGTGATAGCACCGCTAATGTGCATTACAGAAATGTAAACCATAGTATCAACGTTTGTTTGGACAAACTATTCCCAGCAGATACTGGGAAGCACTTACTTCAATAGTCTTCCGCACGGCACATTACAATGTCACGAAGTTAGTATTAAAATCCATTCACGAATCGAGTCTGTTGTTTGTTTTCCAGGTTTACGCTTTATTGCGCGGATTGCAGATCAGTGACAAGTAGCGTACAGAAACGAAGCTGGGCAAGTGGCTCCTCCTCCTTTGCGCGCTCTCGTAGATTGGGAAACAGTTTTTGCCGGGGTAACTACTTTTGGCAGGACACCTGAAACACAGGAGGCATACAGAAGTTGTTCCTCTCTGATGAAATATCCACATAGCATTGCGCTCCCGCTGCACTTACCGTGAGCCACCATGCCTCTGAGGCTGTCTGCTGCAAAAAGCCCGCTTTCCAGATATTTCCAATCTCTGCACAGCTGTTCAGCACGAGCGTTTGGGTAAGATAAATCCGAATGTGGAAGAAGAGCTGTGAAAGTAGGGTGCGGGTGATAAAAGATAAAATATATTTGTTGCTTTTCCAGCGCCGGAGCCGCCTGCCTCGGCTCGGTGAATTTAAAAGGTCGCAGCTGTCTGACTCTGAAGGATTTCAGCTCAGATGAAATCAAGAAGCTGCTGTGGGTCTCCGGAGACCTCAAGCATCGGATCAAGCACGAAAAACAGGTATTTAACTTTAATTGCAAAACTTCAGTACTTATAGTTGGTGTACTCTGTGGTCTCTGGATGTGTAATTAAGAGTCATTTCTATTTCAGTATTTGCCTCTTCTACAAGGAAAGTCGATTGCAATGATATTTGAGAAGAGGAGCACCAGAACAAGAATGTCCACAGAAACAGGTGTCAGTTTTTCTATGCAAGCATATGCATGACGTGGCTCGGGTATGGGATTTGACAGAGGCAAGATATTTCATTGCTATATGTAGTGGTGTGGAAAGGCTTTTGTCCCCTATTCTGATTTCCTATTTTTTTGTTTGTCACATTTAAAATTTTCAGCTCATCAAACAAATTTAAATATTAGACAAAGATAACGCAAGTAAACGCAAAATGCAATTTCTAAATAAGGTGTTTGTTAAGAGGAAAAAATCCAAACCTACATGACCCTGTATGAAAAATTATTGCCCAATAAAACCTAATAACTGGTTGGGCCACTTTTAGTAGCAACAACTTAAATTAGGTGTTTGCGATAACTGGCAATGAGTCTTTCACTGCACCGTGGAGGAATTTCAGCCGCTGATCTTTGCAGAATTGTTGTAATTCTGCCACATTAGAGGGTTTTTGAGCATGAGCCGCCTTTATCGGTCACGCCACAGCATCTCAATCAGATTCAGTCTTCATTTTGTTTTGCTTGTGTATCTTTATATTTTTCATGTGTTTGGTTACTCATATATTTCAGGGTTTTTTTTCCTAAGTCATTCTTTTTTATTTAATATTATGTTAAATTAATGGAAACTTGCTTCCACCACTGAAAAAAACAACATTTTTTTCTGTAAGTCACAAATTTAGGTTGTTATTGTGTATAAATTGAGCAATGAAAGTGATTCTGAAATTTGCTGTGTGTTTCTTTATGCATATAATGGATGCTTTCTCCCATTGGAAAAACAACAACAAAACACACACAAAACATTGTTGTTATCCATAACTGCACACCTTCATGACGACCGTAACGAAACTTGGAATTTTCTTAACCTTAATTTAAAAATTTCAAGTTATTTCGTTCAATTTAGACGTTTTTAGTTAACTATGTCAAGATGCGAAATTAATAAGTTACACAATCTTTTGATAATAACCCAAAATTTTATTTTTTTATTTTTTCAGAGGCAGAAAGTTGAAGTTTTTCCATAATTACTGTTTCAATTATACATCCCAATATTTGCTTTGTAGCTTTTTTTTCTAGTCAGCTTTTTTATTATTATATGTATAACTGAATCATTCTTGATTTAATATTGGCATAGATCCATACAGTTACACCCTACAGTGAGTAATATGGTCTTGTCACATCAGGCCAAAGTCAGTCTTTGTTTACATAGATGAACATGTATGAATGATGCTTGCTTATTTCACTGATGAAACATGCAATGTAGCTTTACCTATAGGGATTAAAAGTACAATGGTTTTAACAGTGGTATCTTACTGCATGGAAGTCATTAAGCCAATAATTACATAAATAAAAACTATCCTTGTTGCAGGAGCCGGCTAATGCCATTCAGTGCAGTCATTGTTAATGTAGTCACAAAAGAACTGCTGAAAGGTGACTTCAGTACAAACCCCACCAAAACACTGATCAGCACTCCTCATTTCCCTCTCCACCACCCCCCACTCCCCTTAGTGTGCACTCCTCTATATATTCCTGCCTGCACATTTACTTTAAGTACACTTTTTAAAGCACTAGTTGACTTTTAGGGAAACTAAAAGTACTTAATCTTGTAACTCCAGGATTTTCTCTGCTGGGTGGACACCCCTGCTTCCTTACCTCACAGGACATCCACCTGGAGTGAATGAGAGCTGCACAGATACAGCCAGGTGAGCTGTTGGTTTATCTCAGGGAAATAAAAGCAGCTGCAGCTTTAACCTTTTCTATAGCAGTCTCCTCATGATTTCATTGTTGTATGTAATTGCTGAAGAAGAACGCAGTTTTTCTCAACAAGATTCCCTCCTGGCTCAGTATATAAACCACAAAGTCCTTGTGCATGTCTGATCTTTCACAACAGGGTCCTCTCTGGATTCTGTGATGTTGTCTGGCTCGTGTATACAAGCATCGACGCTGGAGGAGCTAGATAGGGAGGCTTCAATCCCATCATTAACGGACTGTCAGATCTGTATCACCCAATCCAGATTCTGGCTGACTTCCTCACTTACAGGTACTCTTACACTGTGGTATTCTGCAATTTTAATGCACTAGTTGATAACCATGCAGTACCTGTTTCTTTAAATCCAGGAGCATTACGGATCCCTTAATGTCTACGGTGAGCTGGATTGGAGATGGCAACAATGTTCTCCACTCCTTCATGATGACTGCAGCCAAACTCGGAGTTCATCTTAAGGTTGCTACACCGAAGGTTGGTTTCTTATTGCGCTATGGATGCATGTGATCTCTTTGTTACTCTGGTCTTTGTATCTTATGTGTTTTGTGTAGTTTGAGGTTAAAGGCAGGCAGTCAGCCTTGAGCTTCTTATCTGCGCACTTCTTGTGTCAGTAAGATAAAGTCATATCTTTGTGTTCAGGGGTACGAGCCAGACAAGGGCGTTACTGAAGAGGCACACAGGCTCGCCAAACAGGTGAGGTCCTCTAAAACCTGCCATTAATGTCTTCTAGTTTCAAGTATTCTGCCAAGGTTAATGTTAATAAATAATATTATATTCTGTCTCAGCATGGTACTCAGTTGATTCTGACCTCTGACCCATGGAGGCTGCCCGTGACAGCAATGTCTTGGTCACTGACACCTGGGTCAGTATGGGACAGGAAGAGGAAGAAAAAGAGGCTAAAAGACTTCCATGGATACCAGATTTCTATGCAGGTAAGAAGGACATTACTTTCAGCCAAGTAGTTACTCTCACCTTTTTACCTGTTTTTAAACACTAATATTTTTCAGATAAAAATCATTTATTTGCATATTTTGGGTGTTATATGTGTATTAATGATACATGAAATATAACAAATCCGGAAAAGTATTTTGTTGTTTT